TTGAGATGGCATTTCCCTCTTGTTGCCCAGGCTGAAGTGCAATGGTGCGACCTCAGCTCACCCAAACCTCTGCCTCCCAGGTTCCAGCAATTCTTCTGCCTCAGCCTTCCCGAGTAGCCGGGATTACAGGCAGGTGCCACCAAGTCCGGCTAATTTTGTGTTTTTAGCAGAGACAGGGTTTCTCCATGTTGGTCAGGCTGGTCTCAAACTCCTGATCTCAGGTGATCCGCCCGCCTTGGCCTCCCAAAGTGCTGGGATTACAGTCGTGAGCCACCGTGCCCCGTGGACCTGCTTTTTAACTTCAGGAGTGGAGGCACCACAACCTATCATCATAGCTCTCATTTGACCCCCCTTTCCCCTCCACACACACAAAGAACAGACAGATACCAAGGCTGTTTATTGACAGCGGCTCTCCCTCTGCCCTTCTAGGGTGCCTAATACCCAGTCTCCCCAGTGGACACAAGTGGAGTGGCTCTGAGCTTGACCCCAGGCGCCTTCCTCCTGCCAGCCTTCCCTGCCTCGCAGCCTTGGCCTTCCTGGTTTGCCACAGGGGCTGTTACTCCTTTGATTCCACATCGTCGTTCTGGAAGTGTGTAACGCAGGCTGTGTGAGCCGAATCATGAGAGCCACAGAAGGTGTTCATGCTGTGGCAGCTGCCAAGGTGGCGCAGGGCTGCAGGCAGGAAAGGCGGGCATGAGGCGGTGCTGGCTGCGCTTGCGTCCGGCTTCTCTCGCCCCCGGCTTCCCTCGCCCCACACTCACCTCTGGTAACATTGACTTTGTTGGCCGCCAAGATGTCCGCCTGAATGCTGTCTATTTTCGTGTACAAGTCCTCAGCGTTGCTCTGAGGACAGGAACAAGGGGGACCCAGCTGGGGTGCCAGGGCAGTCTGGACTGGGAGTTGGGCTTGGCAGAGGGATGCTGCAGGTGAGGGGCGGGCTGGCAGCCTGACCGAATGGGCAGGAAAGGGAACAGGAAAGTGGCAGGTGCAGGAGCCTAGGCTAGGGCAGTCCCTCCTGCAGCTGGTGGCCAGCTCCACTCTGCATGTGGCGCGCTCCAGAATGGGGACGGTGTGGAGGGGCACCACACTGTCCGAGCCACCGACTGCTCCTTGCAGTGGAGCGGGGAGGGAGCACTTACCAGGAAGAGCTGGTAGAGTTCCTCCCCCATGCACCTGCACACGTGCTCCGCCACCAGAGGGAACATCTGCACGAAGCACTGCGCCACGCGGCGGGGCGGCGTGACTGCCAGGCGCCCGGGCTGTGGGTGTCGCCGCCCTTCCCGCCCCCTCGCCCCCGCCGCGCGCACCTCTAGCGTGAGGCTGGCCAGCCGCTGGCTGTTGCTGTGGTCTGTGTTGCCCATGGCGGCCATCAGGCCGTGCACCACGCGCAGGTACAGCAGCTCCTCGGCGATGCTTATGTCGTTGCGCACCAGGACCCTGAGCCAGGGGTTCGGGCTGCGGCGATGCCTTGGGGCTCACCCGACGCACACCCGCGCCCACCAGGCGCACAGCGTCGGGAGCTCTCCCGGGGCCCGAGGGCAGCGCCAAGCCAGGCTTGCTGCAGCCACCTACTACCCCCTGCCCGCTTACCCGATGGCCTTGGCGGCCGCGGCCTGCTGCAAAAACATCGGCAGGCTGGGGGTGAGCTGGAGAATCGAGGGGTCTGAGGAAGGTGCGGCCGTGAGACAGGAGGCCCCCAACCCGCGGCCCAGGTAGCCCCATCAGAGCAGGTCCCTACCATTGAGGATCTTGGCTTGCAGTTTGGAGGTCTCTTTGACCGATGGTATCAGCAGCGCCACGAGGCCCTTAAGCAGCGCCTGGCGCACGTCGTAACCGACCAGGTCCTTGATCAGCTCGATGGCTGGGGAAGGAAAGAGGTGCTGGAGAGAGGCCCCAGGCCCCTCTGCCACCAAGGAAGCAAAGAACCCGGTGAACCAAGTCGCCACCCATCACTGTCCTCCTCCTGACCTTTTACTGCCCAGCACTGTGTAGGGCGTCAGGGAGCTAGGAAGGCAACACCTCGGTTGAAGAGCAGGAGGAGGGGGCTCAGTGGAACACCTCAGTTGAATTGGTGGGGGGAGGAAGGGTTGGATGGTGAGCCCAACCGTCCAGGTGGCCTAGGATGTCAGCGCCGGAGGCTGAGAGGCCTCAGAGACCTGAGCATTTGCCTTGGAGGAATCCGGGTTTTATGTAGGAGGGAAGGGCTTGGTCTTTATAGGAAGGCAAGATGGAGAAAAACAAGGGGTGAGAGGGAGAGGGAGCAAGTGGGTGGGGGACTTATGGTAGGAAATGAGAGAGGGAAAGCAAGGTAGGCGGGAGTTTAGAGAAGCTCTCCTTCTAACCATCATGAAGCCCTTTCCACCCGGCAGGGTGCCAGGCTTTCCATTGAGCCCTCTCCACCAGGCAGGGTGCCCAGCCTCCCATACAGCATCCGTGGAAGCTCACCAGAACCCGATGAGATGTGCTTCCCCATTTTACCTTTGCCAAAATTAGGCACAGAGAGGTAAATACTTTGCCCAAGCTACACAGTTAGAAAATGATGGAAGCAGAAGGAGGGAAAGATTTGGTTAGGAAGGAGAAGGGGACTAGAATTTATCCGGGGCATTTCCTGCAGGGCTTTGCTATAAATACTTTACACTCAGTCATTCATTCGGTCCAGCATTCACTCAGCCTTTTGGCACAACTGCATGTGAAGGCCTATGTGCCAGGCGCAGCACTGGGTGTTGAGGATACAGAGTAGATTCATTTTTTCAACCAACTTTCCTTAAGCACCAACAAACAGGCTATAATAATATGGTGACAGATGCTGTGGAAGGGGCCAGTGGTCAGGCTGTGGGAGCACCAGAGAAAATGGGCAAGGAGTGAATATTTTTGTAAAGAGAAAGGAACCACAGAGCTACAGGGGGCAAGAGGAGATGCTAAGGCAATGGTACACCAAGGTAAATGCTACTTTTAAAATTTTTTGGTTTTTTTGAGACAGAGTTTCACTCTTGTCACCCAGGCTGGGGTGCCATGGCTCACTGCAACCTCTGCCTCCTGGGTTCAAGTGATTCTCCTGCCTCAGCCTCTGGAGTAGTGGGGACTACAGGTAAGTGCTACCACGTCTGGCTGATTTTTGTATTTTTAGCAGAGGCAGGGTTTTACCATGTTGGCCAGGTTGGTCTTGAACTCCTGACCTCAGGTGATCCACATGCTATGGCCTCCAAAAGTACTGGGATTGCAGGCATGAGGCACCATGCCTGGCCTCTTTTTAAATTTAAATTTTAAGGCTGGGCGCGGTGGCTCACGCCTGTAATCCCAGCACTTTGGGAGGCCGAGGCGGGTGGATCACGAGGTCAAGAGATCGAGACCATCCTGGTCAACATGGTGAAACCCCGTCTCTACTAAA